AATTGCAGCAAAGCATCTCTTTCTGCTATCTTTTTTTCCTACCTAAGATGTGAAGAAATCACTTCTAAAGTCAGAATTTCTTACAATCAATCAATCTCATTCAACAACCCCCAAGCCACTGATGGCACCAGAATCTGGTTTCCAACCTAATTTAGCTATGGTGGCCATGAAAAGTCTTCAAAAGAGGATTCCTTCAGAAGTTTTAGAGAATAAGACAGTTGATAAATGCTGAAAATATGAAGTTAGCCACTAATCAATAGGGAAATCTAAGTGTCTAACCTATATGTTTATGCATGTCTTATTGAGTGAAACTTTTGGAGCCAGAAAAAAAAAGAAAATAGAGGAAAGAGGAACTAATTAGGGAGCAGGAGATTAACAATAACAAAGACTATGAGAAGTTTCACCCACTGGCACATTGCAGTTGTTAAGAACATTGATGATAACTTGGTGTAACCTCCTACCACCCCTTGGGGATCTTCCTGAAGCTGCAGACCGCCCTAAGAATTTCTTTCTATGTGCTTTATACGAAGGCAGCAACATTCTACGATGGTCATTACCCCTTTCCCCATCAAGAACCTGCAAAACTATTAGCAAATTTTGAGCTAGGACTTCTTTAATATGCCGTAAGATGGATAAAAACATCCTCAGAGCACATCATACAACCACCAAGAAAATAAGATAGTCAATGAAAATAGACACCTCTGAATATTTTTCGTAAGCAAAATCTTCTTCAATCATATAAATAATCTTCTTGATCCTTGAATCTTAAAATTGTTGCAAACAATCCAGGGCCGGCTTTAGCAATCAATATGGAATCTTAAATGCTGAAGATACAAATCACATTACCAGACATAAGCTTCTCTATACATTCATTCTCCTGGCCCATAGAATTCAACAGAAATTTTTCTGACAAAATGTTTTCAGGCCTACTGGATATTCTTTGTTCTATCTTACAAAAAAAGAGCAACAACTGAAAGACATAAGATTGAATTTAGTTTGAATTTTAATTTTATGGAATATAAATAAAAATAAAATATAGATGATATAAAATTTTTAAATGATAATAATATTTTAGTTTCAATTTATTCCCATATTCAATTCAAGTTAGGTATTTTTGTGATTTTCCTTTAGTGATGGAGATTTGAAGAAAAGTTGGTTTTTTTTTTTTTTTTGTCAAAAGAAATAAGGTCAGTTCCATTATGTGTTGTATATATAAGTTGTAACTAATTTTACATAATAAGATAATTAAGATCGAAAAATTAAATGGGAATAAAATAGATTTGAACTAACGCAATGAAAGAGTTTCGTGTGACCACGAGCACCAGAGAGCAAGCAACAAGATCATAGTTGTCCACTAGCAGAGAAAGGACAATCTGCTAGGGCTGGTTGCTTTTACTAACAGTAACCAAGGGTGCTGTCACTTTTTGCTTTACACACAAAGAGAGCCCCTGAACTTGAATAAATTCATTCATAAAATATTGTCTTGCTCAAATGTGTTATGATATCAAAGCAATAAGCTCCAACTAAGTAATGCGGTCCATATCTTCTCTCTTCTTCTGCTGTCATGTCCAGTTCCAGTATGTTTCCTTCCTTTGATCATGTTGGAAGAAATCTCCAAATCAAACATCTATCTCCTCTACTAATGCCACAGCTCAACTCCCTGTCAAACTAACCTCTCAGAATTTCTCATCTTCATGAGTCAAGTTTGATGCACTTCTCACTGGCTATGACCTCTCGGGGTTGTCGATGACTCCACTTCCATTCCTCTTAAACCTGCAACAGGAAGACAAAACCATACCAAATCCTGCCCATGCTCTCTGGGTGCACTAGGACAGACTGATCACCCATGCTATCACAAGTAATGAATTCATAGCTTTCAAGTTGCAGCTTCGCAGCTCTGCTTCTGAACAGGAAGCCGCATCCTTCTGTTCATGGAGCTAAGAAGTTTGGCCGCCAACAGTCTCACTCCGATCATTCCCAGATAACTCAAGGTGCTACCTCTAGATCAATCTGCCATATTTGTGAGAAATGTGGGCACACTTCTAGACCATGCTATAAAAGTAAAAAGTACCTTCAATTCCAATTTCTGACCCTGCAGCTAATATGCAAACTCGGAGCTTGCATCAAAGAAGTCTTGGTTGATGGATTCTGGTGTCAACACCAATACCACTAGTCTGAAGAACCTGCCCAGTCATTAGGACTATGATAGCCCCAACAAGGTCATTGTCAATGGCAAAGCTGAGTACAGATCTGTTGCCTCATCTGTGCTTAGTCTGCTATGGGTTCAAAATTTGTGCAAACTCTCTCAGCTTGCCATAATCTACCATGACAAGCTTAGAGTGAATTACATTTTTGCAAATCTGGTTCTACAGTACCCTATTAAACACATCTCCACTGACTTCGTACTCAACTACTCAGCTCTGACTAAAGACTCCATCTTGCAAGGACATGATAGAAATAAAGGTTTATTTATTTCTTTGCTTAAATTCATGTAGCTTATAAGCATATCTTCATCTGATACTATATATCTGAATTATGCTTATCCTCTTGTAGCAGTAGACACTTCTATCTAAAGACCGGTATACTGTAAATGGAATCATCCAGAGAAATATCCGGTTGGCCAAACTGTATTTACAAAAAAAAAAAAAACGTAACAAATAAATGGTGGTTTTAGTAGGAAAGAGACAATCCCGACTCTACCTGTATTGTCTTACCACAGTCATGATCAACTAGGATAGCACAATAAACACACTTTGAGAATAACCTGAGATTTTGGAAGCCATGAAAGATGAAGAATTACAGTCTCACCGTACGGTGTTAACAACTGAGACACCAAACGAGTTCATATTACTACAGGCAGCTAACAAAGCATAAACAGAGAACAGCAGAAAAGCAATTCAGTTCATCCAGCGAATTAATTGATTATTTGCTTTAATAAAACGCGCATACATGAACATATAAAGGGGAGAGTAGGAAAGAGCTTACACCAATAACAGGTTCGTGAAGGCTGACTTGCGAGAATAAAAGAGACACCCATTGACCAAAAGAGCCCAAACTGGGTGTACTTCCTGTGTAACAAAGTGGATTGACATCCAGAAAGAATACCCTTTTCTTGCTCTTGCTCTTGCTCTTGCTCTTGCTTTTGCTTTTCTCTTCGCCGTCCTTATGGCAATCGCATCTTGGAGAGAATTGCCTACCAACTGTTTGATTAAAAGACGCACAGAAAGACGATGACCAAGAAGACCATTTTTCTAGTTTCAGCGAATATATTTTCTTCGTTTTTTGATTCAAGAAAAAACGTGGTTTGGTAAGAGGCTTGGACTGAAAATGGTTAGGCATCGAAACTGCCATTATCATCTCCAAAATAGTCTGGCTGCCTGCGGATGCTACTTGCTTAGTGACACTTTAGATTGCTTGTAATAAAACAAGAACAAGAAATGCCATAGGCCAAAAGCCTTAAACAAGATGAAGGGGGTATTTGGTCCAGCTGCTGTTTTGTTGTAGCTTTCGGTATAGGATATGGTTTATTTCTGTAGCCATATATATATGTACTAAAATAAAATGAATACTGGATCATATAGTTATTTTTACCAATAGAAATTTAACCACTAATTGAAATGTATAATAAAAATGAAACCTTTTTAAATAAATAAAAAGTAATTAGGGAAAACAATATAATAAAAATGAAACCTTTTTAAATGAATACAAAAGTAATAAGGAACAAACACGTCGAGACCATCACAAGCACCGGTAAGGTAGTTGAAACCTCCGCCCATTTCGATGTTCTCGAGGGAACCCAACGTCACATAATACCCTTAACAGTCCCTTTTCTCTTCTTCCTCCTTCCTCCATTCTCCATTTCCTTCTCCTTCAACCCCTCTCTCTCTCTCTCTCTCACCCAGACTCGTAAGAGGTTGACTGCTTGTTGGCAGCCATGTCTCACCTTCTCCAAACTTCATTTCTGCCCTCCTCTCCCTCTTTACGGAGGAACCCTAACGCCTCCGTGCCGCAATTCCACATTCCAGGTCACCGGGGCAGGACGTCAGCATGTCCAATTCGGGCCAAGATCCGGGAGATCTTTATGCCGGCGCTTAGCTCCACCATGACAGAGGGTAAGATCGTCTCCTGGATCAAGTCGGAGGGCGACAAACTCTCGAAGGGCGAGAGTGTGGTGGTTGTCGAGTCCGACAAGGCTGACATGGACGTTGAGACCTTCCACGACGGGTTTCTTGCCGCCATCATGGTGGAGGAAGGTGGCGTTGCCCCCGTCGGATCCGCCATTGCACTCTTGGCCGAGACTGAAGATGAGATCGCCCTCGCGAGATCGAAGGCCAACACTAACAATTCCACTTCCACAGCTTCTGCACCCGATCCTGCTGTTGTCACTGTCTCTTCTGCTACAACAACTGTTACTAAAGAGGAGAAATTTGTCGGACCCAAAACTCCAGTGGCAGTGGCGGCATCCGCTGTGCACCCTGCATCCGAAGGAGGGAAGAGGATAGTGGCGTCACCATACGCAAAGAAGCTGGCTAAGGAGTTGAAAATGGAGCTTGCGGGTATAGTTGGGAGTGGGCCCATGGGAAGGATTGTGGCTAAGGATGTTGAGGCGGCCGCTGTTGCGGCAGCTGAAGTGGTGCCGGCGGCGGCGCTGAACACAGCAACTACGGCGGCTGCACCGGGAATTGAATTGGGGACAGTTGTGCCCTTCACCACAATGCAGGCGGCTGTGAGCAGAAATATGGTAGAGAGTTTGGCTGTCCCGACTTTTAGAATTGGGTGCACTATTACAACGGATGCGCTCGATGCCCTATACAAAAAGGTAACTTGGATTTTGAATGATGGATTAACGAAGATGAGGTATTTCGAGTTTGAAAGCTTCTGTCTTTTATTGCCTTCTTGCATGAAATATCAGCGAAGCTTGCTCCTTGCAGGAGAGGCATCATTATGCTCCAAGACTGAGAATATTAATCTAGAGTTTTTTAATTGAGAGTTCAAATTTACATACTGTTCATAGTACCACTGACGTCTTGTGAAGAATGATTAAAGTAGAATTTATTTTATTTGTTTTAGATCAAGTCCAAGGGGGTAACAATGACGGCATTACTCGCAAAGGCAACGGCGCTTGCACTAGTTAAACATCATGTTGTAAACTCTTCCTGCAGAGATGGTAACAGTTTTACATATAACAGTAGCATCAACATCGCGGTTGCTGTGGCAATGGATGGTGGACTAATTACACCAGTGCTTCAGGATGCTGATAAGGTTATTTTTGTTGCATTTTCTGCTTCTCTAAGCCTATTTTTACTTATATCTAGTATTCATAAGCTAAGGGACTTTCTTGTGTTCCTTGTAGGTTGATATATATTCATTGTCAAGAAAATGGAAAGAGTTAGTTGACAAGGCCAGAGCAAAGCAGCTGCAACCTCATGAGTACAATACAGGTAATAATTGCATGATCTATGGCTTTATGCTTTTTTTGTAACTTTTCTTGTAGATCAGTTGGTATGGAGAAGCTGCTGGTTTCCCCAGTTTCATTGCATTTAAAATGAGGTAGAAGGTTATTCTCTTTAACTTTTTACAGATTGTGTTGATGGTTGTTGGTGAACACATGAAATAAAAAACTGGTGATTAAAAAGGCTTGCAAAGAATGTAAGCTCTTAACAGCAGCAGCTAATATTAATGATTGGACAGTAAGTCTGGATGCACTTAACATTTAAGGAAAGAGTTAAGTGTAAGTGAAGTCACACCTGTAGAAATGCTTCAGAAGAATAGTGTTTGTCAGATCAACAGCATTTCATTAGATAATTGGTCATTTTGGGCTGATTTTTACCCTAATACTCGGTACTCTCTGACATAGGTAGAATTTAGCTTGCATTAGACTGTAAAATAAGCAGTGGATATATATATAGGTTGTGACAGAGAGAGAAGTATTGTATTGCTCCTCTTGCACATGAAATTGCATCCCTATGAACTTTAGCTGTAATCTTTATCAACTATAATTGATGGGTAAATGTAAAGTTTGTGCTGCACAACTTTAAATTTTATGTTCAAATTGAAATCATATCTTCTAAATTGGAATTAATACTAGTATAGCGTTTCAATTTTTATAGCAATTGTTGAAATTTTCATTTTACCTTGCAAAAGTATGTTTGCCGCTTGCATAGAATCTCTTTATACTTTTGCACTGACTGAAAGTATTCGGATGTGTGTTTAACTCTTGTACTTGGGAAGTGAGAGTAAAATCTTTCTTCTTACTTTGGTTTTTTAACCTGTTTTCTTTCACTAATAGTGTCTCATGTAACTATATAATTTACTTATTAATCCCAAAGATGACGAATGAAGATATTCTTTCAATTTAAATTAACTTCTTTTTCTAGAATAAAAGGAATAAGGAAAGGTTTATGTCTTATAGAGAAATTGAGAATAATATTGACATGCTTTTTCATAACTAATATAGCCTGGCAGTAGCTAACAGACCGCCTAAAAAAGAATATTAATTAAATTATTTGATTCATATCCTGACACAAGAAGTTTGGGGAAATTATGAGAAGGCAATCTAGTAAAATATATCAATACTGAGATCTGACAAAACAAGGTAATTGCCTTACGTAGTTACTGAATTACTGAGTGATTGATATGTAAATACTATAAATGGTCCTACACTGAAGAAACCACTATCCCCTCTAGATGGATGCAGATTCTCTCTGAGAAAGTAGTTTTGTATGAGTGAAGGTTCCTGGCAAGAGCAAAACTGCCTTTTTTCCCCCTTCTATATTAGGAGTCATTACTATTTCTTGATCACTCACTATTCAATAATAAGTCAATATTTGATTTATCAAATATGTCATCTCTGCTTCTTAAATTTATTTTGATCCTTTGCCAGGAACATTCACTCTTTCTAACCTTGGGATGTTTGGTGTGGACCGATTTGATGCCATTTTGCCACCTGGAACCGTAAGATATTTAACTCCAAACTATATGATCCTTTTGTGCGCCTGAGCTATTTTGGGTTACTGGAGAAATTACAACTTGTCAGGAATTCATTGATGCAGGGAGCAATTATGGCTGTTGGAGCATCTCAGCCTACTGTAGTTGCTAGCAAGGATGGCCGGATTGGCATGAAGAACCAGATGCAGGTAAAATATGAGTTTTTGTTTCTTTTTTACAACCATGCGCAGAATACAAATTATTTAACATCTGTCAACTTGCAACATCTCTAGGTAAACGTTACAGCAGATCATCGTGTCATCTATGGCGCTGATCTTGCTCAGTTCTTGCAAACCTTGGCGAAGATTATTGAGGACCCCAAAGATCTCACATTCTAATCTTTACATCCTTATAACCAATTGAGATCTTTTTGCTTGTACCGTGGCCAAAGCTTACTTCTTTATCCAACCAGTCCTTATTGGAGCAGACTTGTGAGGAAAATCAATGGAGCTGTTTGCTACCCATTCAAAATTCTAGAGAAAAACAGAATCAGAATTTTGGGCAGCAGTATTTATTTGAGTTATGATTTCTTCTAGTGATCTGCCTGTTTTTTTGTTGTCTTTTTTGTTCTTTTTTTCTTTTATTTAACAGGATAATAGAAGCTGACTGTAAACTTTTGTGTTATCAATCAAATTTTGGTTCAAGTGTTGTTTTATTAATAAGATTTCCTGTCAGTGATATACTTCATAAGTTTGAATACAATCCCAGAATACTTTGTTCTTGTGATCTCTTTTTTCTACTTACAAGCATAAAGCAGATGCTTCTATAAGTGTATGTTTCTGAAGGAGCCTGACAGAAGGTAGGGTAATAGTAAAGAAAATCTAAAATAACAACCATAACCGAGATTCCTACATGTATACACATTTCGTAGTATCATTTATTAACTACGGTTAGATGAAGTTGGCTTCAGCCGTTACCATTCGTTCTATATATATGGCAAGAAAAAACTTCCTTATATATTACTGGAGTGGGATAAAAGAAACCGTCAGAATACAGGAGATCATCTTATGCTTGAAATGCTTTTGTACCATGTTTCTACAGTGAGGAGAGGTTTAATACCACTTTGGGCAGCATCAGCAGCACACTTTTGATCTTTGGCCTGGCATCCCGGGAGACATTAACACAAGCAAGAGCCATCTTCAGAACTTCCAGCATCTGGCTTCTGACAGCAACTAATGTTCCACTGATGTTGAAATCAAGAATGTGATCCCACTTAGCTTGTTGTCCTGCTGAGTTACTTAATACCCATTTTGCCAACTTAGTTCCCTCACTGACTGCAGGCTTTCCAGTCAGCAATTCCAACATAACTAGGCCAAAACTATACACATTCCCAGCCATGGTTACCCTCATGGTGTAAGCATATTCTGCATGAACCGAGAAATATTCAAAAGGTTTAGATTCATAATGAGTACTAAATTTGACTTGTTTCCCAAAGAAATACTAAACTTGGATTTTGAAGAAAAATACATATGAATCTATACTCATGAACAAACGGCTGAATTAACTCCAGAAAACTGAAAGAGATGACCAAGTGAATGTTGAACTGAGAAATTTCAACAACTTGCAGCTCCTTCAGGGATTTAAGCATTCCGCTTGAAAGATCAAGAAAGAGAATGGAAGTAGAGGTGCATCCATGCAGAAAAGCAAGCTCAGAGACTCCAACTCCTTAACTGTAGCAACTAGACCAGTTCATAGCATTTCTCTTGCTATGATGGAGGACATCGAAGAGGGTATGCTTTGGAGCAAATTCATAAAATAGGAAGGCACTATCAACAGACAAAACATAGGCCCAAGGGGTCATGACAGTAGAATTTCTTACCCTTCCCAAGATTTCAAGCTCCTGTTAAAATTTATCCCGGCTGCCCAGTTGGCATATCTTGTCCCTCCAGTTAAGCTCTTTGACAAAGTAACTTGTTCCTGAAGGCATGATAGCTTCATAATAGGTAGAAAACCTAGTTTTCAGGAAAATATTTTGTTTATCAGAAACAATTTCCATGGCTTTATGGGAGTCAATACTTGTATTGTGGAACCCACTTACAGTCAGATTGATTTCCTTGAACGACCTGGGAAAGAGGAACAACTTCAGTTGACTGTACTCATCATTAATCCTGTAAAAGCATCTGGCAATTGGTAGAGTAATGAGTGTGACAATCTCCACGACAACAACAGTGGCCACAAGTGAAATGACAATTGCCATGGCAACTGACTTACTCTTCTTTGTTGATGCTGGAGTGTGATGTCAAGGGTGAATTCTGAAGCGCAGGCTTTCCACTCAAATGGAGCAAGACATGTCCACCAAACTTTTGCGAGAACACCAGAGAGCCTATTGCTAGAAATAACAGCTGCTTAAGTGACACAAGTTAAGTCAGAATATTAGGAACTGGGCCAGAGAATTGGTTGTTTGAGAGATACAAAACATCCAATCTAGTAAGTTGAGAAAGTGAATGGGTCATTTGAAACAGTTGCTGCTGATATTCAAAGCAATCTGCAAAGTCCTTGGCGTTGTTGGAAACATCCCGCTTTGCTCATTTTGTCCAGGCTGCAGCTCTAGCAGACTCAATTGCCAAACAGCTTCGGGTATTTGACTACAAGATTGTTGCTTTGCAAAATCAAATTGGTAAGCTTAACCAAGTTTGATATGGAACCAGATATTGAACGCACCAACTGAATTTCAACAGGAACTTCCCCACTCGGATTGTTAAAATGAAA